GCAGGAACTTCCTCATAGATAGATGGAGAGACCAAATAAATGTTGCACCTGGTGTATCGGTAGGACTGGCTTTAGAGGGAAAGAAATGTGCATAAAAAATCCAATATGGAAATCTTCAAAGCAACTCCTTAAAATAGTATTTGCAAATTCAAAAACAATCCATCCAAATACAAAATTACATTTTAAAACTCACTTTTATCGAATTGAAAAATGTACACTGGAATTGTAAAAAAACCAACTGCATCTGAAAATGGGTTACCATATATAAGAAAACATTCTGTTACAAAGAGTACGAGAATGCTTGCTCTTACTACAGTAACAACGGGCGAATGAAAATACTGTATTATTTAGTAGTGAAGCCCTCCCCCTAGTGGACATAGGTAGGAATTTAAAGAAAAGGGTAAAATCTTTTACATACATTTTATTTCCTCTTAATATTTACAGAATAAAAGAGGTAGGGAATAGCTGCAGTGTGGTATAAAGACTTTCCTTAAAGGAATTTTAGGCCATTATTTGATCTGAGATGTAAAACAATTTTAGAGTTTTGATAGAACAGTTGGTCTGTATTCCCTCCCAAATGTATATGTTGTATTTTCATCACCAAGGAGATGGTATTAGAAAAAGAGGCCTTTTGGAGATGATTAGTCATGAGAAATCTGCTCCAATGAATGGGATTAATGCCCTTATAAAAGAGGCCCCAGGGAGCTGTGTTGCCCTTTCCAGGGTGTAAAGACACAAGAAGGCCCTGTTTATGAGGAATGGGCCCTCACCACACACACAATCTGCCAGCTGAGTCTACTGACATTTTCAGTTTACCAGTTCTCTACTGCATAGGGCTGTTTTGTGCATTGTAGTGTTTAGCAGCATCACTGGCCTCCACTCACTTGATGCTAGTAGCAATCCCTCCCCAACCCCACCAGTGTAATAATAAAAAATGTCTCCAGACATTGCCAAATGTCCCCTGGGGAGCAAGATCACCCTCAGCTGAGAACCACTGGAATAGAGGGATAACATGATATGACATCTTTTAATAGGATCACTCATTGAGAACAGACTGCAGGCAACAGAGATATCATTTAGGAATGGAGATTACCAAAAGAAAAAAAAAAGGTCAAATACTGAAGGAGAGCCGGCAGAAATTTTCAAAGAACAGGATGAAGTGAGAGAAAGAGTCCACGGTAATAACATCAAAGATTTTAGTCTGAACAACTAAAATTGAGTTGCCATTAACAATGATGGGAAGACAGCAAAGTGGCTGGCTTGGTAGTGTTTGGACTGGAGAGCGCAAACATGAAGCACATAATGTTAAACGTGTTAATTGAGAGCCTTTGCAAGACTCTCAATAGAGATATCAAGTTTCATTGAATATAAAGTATGGAAATTAGGGGGAGGGGTCTAGGCTATTTCAAATTTGGGTCATTAGGCTTACAGGTAATATTAATGAGTTTACCTAGAAAGCAAATGTGTTTAAAATTAAAGAAAAAAAAAACAGCCCTGAGCAACTCCAACCATTCCATGTAAGGGATATGAGAAGGAACCAACGAAAGAAACTGAAAAGCATCAAGAAAGGTAGGGGGTAAAACAAAACAAAACAACACAACGCAAAACAAAAGCCAGGCAAATGTGATGTTCAAGTCATGAAGCTTTGCACATTTTTTTCTCTTTACACAAAATGGTTTCATCTTAGTAAGTCCCTCCCTAATGTAAACATTTGTGAATATCTGTACTATATTATACTTTCTACAATAATTTACCTGGCTATCTCTTCTAGACTGTGAGCTCCTGGGTATAAGATTTATCTTTGCATCTCTGTAGCAATCAGCATAGTGAATGGTACATAGCACATAATACGTGTTCAACTGATAATGAAATTTAATATTCCCTGAAATAAAAATGTCCTACAGTAAGGTATCACTCATTGAGATTCTCAATTAAAAATTAGCAAAAATTAGGCCGGGCGCGGTGGCTGAAGCCTGTAATCCCAGCACTTTGGGAGGCCGAGGCGGGTGGATCACGAGGTCAAGAGATCAAGACCATCCTGGTCAACATGGTGAAACCCCGTCTCTACTAAAAATACAAAAAAATTAGCTGGGCATGGTGGCGCGTGCCTGTAATCCCAGCTACTCGGGAGGCTGAGGCAGAATTGCCTGAACCCAGGAGGCGGAGGTTGCCTTGAGCCGAGATCACGCCATTGCACTCCAGCCTGGGTAACAAGAGCGAAACTGCGTCTCAAAAAAAAAAAAAAAATTAGCAAAAATTCATATATAATTCAAATAACTGTGACATTTAAATTATGTGGCATCAAGGACAGTCACCAGCATCTCTCATGTTTGATCCTACTATGAAAGGGATACCAATCCTTGTGTCAACTTCAACCAGTGTCTCAACTCGTTTTATATATTGGGACTCCTGATTTTATTAAAAATAAACGGTTTCCATGGCTGAAAACTATGATGCCATTAATCAACCCTAATATTCTATTTTCATTGACTGCATCAAGGGATATGCTCGAAAGTTGAAAAGACAATTAGCCTTTATATACCTTTATGTGTTTTTGATTAAAATGCCTCCCATGTACAGCTATGAAATGACAACAAATAATTGTTGTTTTACTGTGGAAATTGCTTTTGTTAAGTGGGAAGAAGGATGGAAACAGGAACCAGAATTATACTGTGGCATGATCATAGCCATTACTCATAATGTTGCAAGAAAACTAATACAGAAACAAGTATGTCCCCTGGGAGAACTGAGTGGTCTTTATTTCCCCTTATTTCTGGTTTTTTGTACTGTGCATATTTCTTTTCAATGAGCATGTATTGTTTGAGTGTAACTTGGCAAGGGTGATGGTGGTATTGTTATGAAAAAAACTTATACAAAAGTTTAATACAGTATAATTAACCACCATATACATATTACCCAGTTTCAAAAATTAACAACTCACACTCAATCCTGTTTCATTTATTTTTTTATTTTTTTTTGAGACAGAGTTTTGCTGCTGTTATCCAGGATGGAGTGCAATGGTGCGATCTCGGCTCACTGCAACCTCCGCCTCCTGGGTTCCTGGGTTCAGGCAATTCTCCTGCCTCAGCCTCCCAAGTAGCTGGGATTACCGGTGTGTGCCACCATGCCTAGCTTATTTTTTGTATTTTTAGTAGAGACAGGGTTTCACCATGTTGACCAGGATGGTCTCGCTCTCTTGACCTCGTCAAGAGTGATCCACCCGCCTCGGCCTCCCAAAGTGCTGGGATTACAGGCTTGAGCCACTGCGCCCGGCCCGTTTCATTTATATTCTCATCCACCTCCTTCCTTATATTATTTTCAAGCAAATACCAATCATCACCATTTCACTGTAAATATTTTAGTAGGTATCTCCAGGACTCTAAAAAGATAGCTCCAATACCATGATCGCATCTGAAAGGTTAACAGTAATTCCTTAAAATCATCACATAACCAGTGTTCAAATTTTCAGTTCTCATATATGGTAAAATTTTTAATTTAAGATCCCTTATCAGGCTCACATATTCTGATTGGTTGATATCTAAGTACCTCTTACACTACAGGTTTCCCCTGCTTGCAACTTACTGAACAATTGTGCCAACTGCAACCTTTTGGTGTCACTCAACATGATCTTCCATCCTATTTTAGGTGACTTGGTAGATGCTTTGTCAGATTTAGGTCTTATTCTTTTTTAACTTCATAGGTAGCAGTGTGTTCCTCCAACAGAAAGCACTTAAGACCGTGTTTGTTTATTGTCAGTAGCTGCTGACCAATCCTTACCTCCATGAGATGTTGCAAAATAGCAATGTTGCAATTCCTTCCTTCCTTTTTCATTAGAATAGAATGTTTTACAGAGAAACTACCCTCCATTTGCTACTTACCTACCCAATGGTATAGTTTGTATAGGAAATGCAGGAAATATTAAAATGATCGTTCTCAAAATGTGAGCACTGGGCCAGAAGCAGCATTACCTGAGAACTTAGAAAATTCTTAGGCTCCATCCCAGACCTACTGAATCAGAAACTAGGGATAAGGTCCAGCAACAATCACGTCCTCAAGGTAACTCTGATGTATACTAAAGTTTGGGAAACAAGTGACTACACCTTTCCCACAAGTCTTGGAATGCCCTTTCTAAAAGCTATTAGCTTTTACTATACTTTAAAAAACCAAAGTTAGGTTCTGGATTTTTTCCCCAAGTATATTATCTGCCCAACTAGTCTATAAATGAAAGAATTACACCTTCAACTTTTAAAGTATCAACTTAGCGTGGTACTAGTCATGTTCCAAAGTTTTCAAAAATTTAACTACATATAGCTTGAAATACTTGCTCAATTAAATGCACATTTCTTTCTTCCTAGAAAATAACCATTGCACTGAAGTGGTCTGAATGAACAGATAGGAAAATCATTTCTAATGTCTGGCCTAAACCCCTAGTTTCACGTTATCTGTTGTTTAAGACTTCATACTGGGAAAAGGAGGCAAAATGTAGATGAAGCTATGGTAAGTTCAATAATGGTCCCCCAAGATGTCCACGCCCTTTCCCTTGGAACCTCTGAATACATTACCTTATATGACTACAGGGACTTTGCAGATGTGACTAGGTTAAGAACTTGAGATGTAAAAACTATCTTGTTTATGCAGGTGGAGCCAATACTTTTCTCATAAGGACCTTCTAAGAGGGAACAAGAGGGAGATACTCTGAGAGAGAAGTTATGATGACAACAGCAGAGACAGATTTCAGATGCTACAATTTGGGCTTTGAAGATAAGGGTCAATGAGCTCACAGAATGCAAGGAATGCAGCTCTAGAAGCTGGAAAAGGCAAGGAAACAGATTTTCCCCTAGAGCCTCCAGAAAGAACAAACCCTATCAACACCTTCACTTTAGCCCAGTGAACCTGATTTTGGACTTCGGGACTCTAGAACTGTAAGATAATTAATTTGTGTTGTATTAAGACACTAGGTTTGTGGAAATTTGTTGCAGCAGCCACTGGAAACTAATACAAAGCCTTTGACAAATTTTTATTGTGAAATACTGGATCTAGAAAAAAGTACAAAATGTCAACAGTCAGATGTGTACAAGTACAGTATTTCAATAGTCTATACATGTGAACAGCTTAACAGGTTCACTGCAGAATGCTTATTTAGACCAATATAATCTAAAAAGGACTGTAATATTCACAGGCTATTAATACATAAATAACTTGAGCCAAAATGACCCTCACTGGTTAATGCTAATTAATAGTGGAAAACAGGCTAAAAGCACAATACACCACACAATATTATCTCTTACAGGTCCACATTTAAAGAATATGAGTTTCTCATGTCAAAACACTACAGATCCAGGACTGGGACTGATTTACTAGTTTATACAATTGCAAAAAATTTAAGTTATAAGGTCATAGAATAAGAGAGGGTATTTAATTAGGACTAAATACTGTGAAGCCCATGAAAGGTTTTTAGCCTTGGAATTTACAAAGCTAAATTATTAGACTGTTAATGTTAGGTAACATTAAAACTCAACTGCCTTCAATTTTAATATTAGCTAACATTAAACTATTTTTAATTTTAATGTTAGCTAAGGAGAAGGACAACTTTCTTTTATAGATTCTCCAACAAGGTATAAGAACTATCACAAAGCAAAACCATAATAACCACTGTGGATTGACAAATGGCTATGAAACAGGAATATAACACATTACAAATTTCAAAGAAAGGTAATAACTATTTTATGAATTTAGCAAATCCTGCAAATGTTAAAATTCATGTTAAGGCATTGTCTATCATGTTTGAGAGTACTAAATTTAAGATTATTATTACGTGAGGATCCCATAAAAATAAACTGTTTAGTTTACAAGATTCTGACTGAATCTTTTTCTACCACTTGAAAATCACCCTATATTATGCTTTCAAAGTGAACAAAGAATTATTTGGTATCACTTTATAATGAACTATAAGAAAAGTTTACTGAAACATGCCATGTTAAAAAAAACTGTTACCATCGTGTTAAGAAAGCCAATCTTTGATATGCTATTCATAATCAATGCTTGTATAAAAACCTTTAAAACTGATATAAGTAACAGTTTATATGAAGTAAATTTATCTTTGCCCATAAATTCCTAAAAGAAGCAACTCTTTCACTCTACACAGTGTATCCAACAATACTAAAATCAAACTAAAATGCGGAACTGATAATAACTAGGAGATAAATTCCATTGCAAGCTGAAAACCACTGGATCAGAATATAATTAGTCAATAACTTCACATAACCTATCCCACCCTACCTTAACCTTTTATAGACAATTTTAAAGACTTTGAGACAATTTACTTATAGTTCCTGAATCTCATAGTAGATTCCAATTTATTCAAAGATTATCACAGATTGGATTAAACGGTTAATTTTTTTCAGATTTGCTTTAAATTAAGTATGGTGTACATAAATATTAACTTAGATAATCACACACAGGGAAAGAAGATATATGGTTCATTGTAGAAACATTAAAATTATAAAGAAATTTTATAAAAAATAATAAAGCAAAACATGTAACTCACAAAATCTGAAGCCATATGACATAAAAAATAAAATTACTCTTTAAGAAGCAATTTAAAATTAAATCTTTGAGGAACCATTTTGATATAAATGAATTCAAAGACTAACAGCTTCCCTTATCACACAGAAACAAATCACAAAATTTTCTAAAGTCTATATGCATTATCAGTTAGTTCTTAATGCAATCTCAAACATTTTACTAGCAATTTTGATTTCCTTTTGAAATAGGCTTCTGTACATATGCATTTATATACAAACATTTATTAAACATGATTTTAAAACAAACTCTATGTACAAAAGATCAGCATTCCTATAAATAAAAACATTAGGTGGCAAAAAGGCACTTGTAAGTAAAAATCTACAGTTTTTACAAAACAGAAACACATTTTACCTTAGATACTGTACAATAAACATTACTTCCTACACCAATAATGAAAATGCTAGGTTACTAACGTTAATGATATAATTTTAAAAAACAAATTTACATATATTTGAAGTTCATTTAATAAAAGCACCATGATTTTCTCTTAAATTCATGTTGATGCAAAGTAAAAACACAATTTCCAAAAAACCAGTGTTCACCATTTGTCGAGTTTAAAAGTTTTTGTATTTCTAAATTGAAAACTGTTTGTCTGAAATTAGCATGGTGTAAAACAAAAAAACAGAACAAAAAAAACCCTGCTGCTCTGACTTCTTAAACCATACCTACTCTATTATTGCATGTTTCGTTTTATAAAGAGCACTACTCATGCACTCCTTTACAACTGTTTAATACTATTGCTGGCAAAAAAGTTCCTGGATATCAAATAATTAAAAAGTTACTTCAAACCAGTTGAAGTTTTATTTGAATGTTTTACAACTTAAAAAATGCTGTATATCAATTACAAAAGTGAATAGAAAACACACCAATTCATTTGGTGTGCAAAAATATTTTTCTACTACACAGAATTTAGGGCTTCACAGAATTTTTTTTCCCCAAATTTACATTGTAAGAAGAAATGCTAAACAAATTACTTTCTCAAGGAGATGTTAGTATGCTTCCACTTTTGTCAAATTTTTTACCCTTTGACAATGCTGCAACCTGTTTGAGTAGTTCTCTGTTTTTGGCCTGTGGGAGACAAAAACATTCAAGATTAAAACTGTTTGAAATATTATTGAGTCATGCTGGAGAATACTACTTATTTAATACGGTTTTCATTTATATATTTATTTCACTGAAGCACTACATTAAATCAAAGAATTGATACATTTATGTTCATCTCTTTAAGAATGAATATGCAGAAGGAAAATTCTAGATTATCTCATCAGCCCCCTTTGTAAATAATATTATAAATAAAATTGCTCTCCAAAGATACACAATTGGTTACAAAAAAGAGACAAAGTGAATCCACTTAAAAGAATGTCTAAATTTTAATAGAGAAAAAATGTTTGGACCTTTATCTTAAAAACATGAAAACAAGTTGTTATTTACAATCAACAAAATCAAAGCATGAATGAAGATTTGGGAGGAATATTTCCTGGCAAGCTGTATGAGGTCTTTTTTCTATGTTTACTCTCTTGTATAACAAGTTTAAGAAGTCATTTTTGCAAAAACTACTCAGAACGTGTCACTTTGCCAAAGGCACTCAATGATATTCAATTTTTTAAAGCACCCATCAGAATCACTCATTCTTATCTTCTTGTTGTTCCTTTAATTACCATATAGTCATCTGACACTGGTTTTAGTGTGACTTGAGCAATTCCACATCATTTCCTATTTCATGAAAGCTTGAATTTTTACAAAGATTCAAAATTAATTTCATCATCTGACTTGGATTTCATTATTAAATGTCCATCCATCACTAGTTTAGTAAGGAGGAATGTGTAAGTTAAGTGAATATTTTCACATTTTGGCTGCCTTTGCCACCTTATTCAGTCTCTTAAATGTGGAAACTTAGATAGTGAGGATTCCTACATATACAAATACATTAGTGATCAAGCGTTTTTGTAGTCTGAGCCAAAATGGGAAAAGTGATGAAAATAGTTTGAAACCTGAACACTATCCTAAAATTAACATGTTTTTAAAAGATACTCTCTGACTTACATTTCAACACCATTTTCCTTCACAGGTTTGAGGCATTTTTTTTATCTCGACAGACTTTTTTAACCTCAGTACTTCATCTTTTACTCTAATTTTAGCTATCTATGGCCAGATAACAACCTGCCTTCCCTGTATGCCATTTTATAGAGGTTTCATGAAATAACCTTTTTCGAACTTTGTACTTCCATTCCCTCACCCTTCTCCAATCACTCTTACTAATTAACACCCCTGACCTCTAAAATGCAAACATTCTCAGTACTATCTTATGTGTGCAGATCAAATCATTTTTTATGTTCAGATGCATGATTAATAGAACTTTCCTATTCAATCATTATTCATAACTAAGGTGGTAATGAAAAACTTCAATATCTATTTCAAATTTAGAAAACCATCAAGAACTGAAAAAGATTTTTACTTTCCTTTAAAACTAAACAGCTTGAGAAACTCACAGGAAAAATTAAGTGAGGATATCTGGCAGGTAGGGGAAATAAAGAAGCACATTTATCTTCAATTGGTTCATTACTCAGCTAACCAGTCCCTGTCAATACAGTAGTTTAAATTTTTTCTTTACTTTTAGCTACATGTTATTTAATTTATAACTATAATAAACACACTAGCTAAAAATAAAAAATTTGAGGAACATATATGTATGCAAATTTGACTCTAAAAGATCTTTACCAGGTCTGTAAGTTATACTTACGTAAAAATTTTTATGCTGATACGCTAAACAGTTAAAATTTGAATCTCCAAATTATTTCCTCAATCATCAATAAGTAAACAAAAAAAGTGTTTATAATTTTCATATTTTAAGTACAAAATACAATAATTTGAACATTAGGTCTTAAAGCAATTTTTCCTTTTAATGCTTTAGTAGCTAATTTCCAGTTTGCATTTAATATATTTGTATCACTAATAGTTATTTCTTGATAAAATACATAAATCTTTTAAGATAAATAATACAGTTGTTAAGTGTAAGTACAAATTTATCTTATTCTAATATGAATACCTTAAAAATGAATTTTATAATGCAATATTTCAATATATGTACATTTAAATTTTTTAAATCTAAAATTACTTCCTTTTGCACCCAGCAAAAATATTTAAAAATCAATATTTTTTACAGACTCTTAAAAGATAAGTTTAAAAGTTTAGACATGTTGATCTAAAGGAAAGAATATCAGGATTAAGAATTACATAGATCCCGCTTTAAATCCTGGCTTACTTACCTGCTACATAACCTGGAGAATATTTTCTCATTTGTAACATAGTAACTCCACCATCCAAACTCAAAATGAGTCGAAAGAACTTATCAAATATATAAAACACTTAGCCTAACACAGTTACTAGTACATAGAAGGCACTCAAATGTTATATCCTTTTCCCTTTTAACCACTTACCTAATTAAGTGAATTATAGAGTTTTTACTTCATATTCTCAGTATTGTCAATATTTGGGGTATTTTGGGGTTACATTTGGACAATTTTTTCTTGTGATGTTCAGTGCTTTGTTGTAGTTTGGTAGTTAAAAATATTTACTAGCTCTAAGATCAATCTTGTGTCAAAGATTCCTTATTACATAAAGATAAGAAAAAAATTACCTATATTTCCTCACCTCAGTATAGAATGCTACTAGTACCACTGGCTGCTAAAGGAAGCAATGTCAAAAGATGGCACTCAGCTGTGACAGATTGCCTGTAGCCATTAACACACACAAAAAAATATCAGGTCAGTCGTCTGATAGGAAGGATGAAATAGAAAATCTGAGTGACCTGAAGTGGTGGGAGCCAGGGTTTAACAGGGAAAAGTAGTTAAACTGGAGTCAGAAGATAAAAACTTCTATGTCACTGCTTACTGTGTGATCAGTTTCCTCTGTAAAATGGGCAAATCACATAACTCAGTTTTTGTAACAAGACAGCATACGTAAAATCATGTCAAAATGTCTTCTATTTTCATATAAATAGTAGTTACTTTTATATTATGTGAAATATCAGTTACCAACCAAGAGGAGGTAGGCTTAATACATCAATCAGGCTAAGTCAAAGAAGACCCCATGTCTTTGCAACTATTTTAAAAAATAAAAACCAAAACACAAATTGCTGTTTTGAACAGTGGGAAGTACTAAGTTAAAACATATCTAAGTACCTCTTGCAGTTATTCTGTTATCTCATTCTGGATTTACTTCAGAGCTTTGGTTACATCACATTAAATCAAAGACCATCAGGTGAAAGACAATCATTCAGCATTAATAACTGAATAAGAAAAATAGAAATAACATAAAACTAAAAATAATACTTGCTGGTACATACAAAAACATTAACTAATACATAAATCTCTCAGAATGGAGGGCAGATGAAGATTTCCATAAATCACCACTTATTCAACAAATCATTTGAATGCCTACTATGTCCCAGGTTCTACATGAGGTTCCTTTTCAACCATTTTCATAGTACTATGATCACGATTAAGACCAATCTGTACCTTGAATTTCAGCAAGTTCCTAAATTCTACTAATTTCAGCTACTTGCAAAGACATATTAATACAAAACCAAAAGAAAGTAGCAGCAAATATCCCTTGATGTTACAATGTGAAAAATACAAAAGGAAACAGGGCAGTATTAACTACTTCCTTCTGAAGCTGTACTCTCCTAAGTCTGAAGTCTGTATGCATTCATCTTCTTTTAAGATTTAAAACTTCTTAACCTTAAACATTACTAAAGATTAATTTTACAAACGTGAGACTATATAAATCAAAGAGAACATGTAATTAATTTAGTGTGGTCTGATTTCTAAATTTATAAAACCTAGCTGAGAACAAGCTTATTATAGTAGCAATCTGTATTCATGTTGGATGTTCACCATCTCTGCATGACAGACATCAATCAGATTGTTACTGTATTGACACCAGACTTCACCATTCAGTTGTTCTGTATACTTAAAATGCTACTGTGCAGTATTCTGAGGTTCAGTTGGATCACTACCTGTTAGCATTTAGTAGAACCTTATTTGGCACTTGTCAAACCACTGTACGTAGGTTAAGTAAACTCTTTTGCTTTGTAAACATTTTTGCCACTTAACGTCCTAAGAACTGGTTTTATACACCCACCTCCCTTCCCATTATCTGGAAGGAAATATTAATACGAAGAATGGCTGCTACTGAAGACCTGCTTTTCACCTTAGGTTCATGAGTCTGATTTTTAATTTTTTGTTCTAAGCCCAATAATCAATTGAACATACACCAATAATATCCTGCTCTAAAAACCCCGACTGAAGTTTAGGCCAAAGTTTTCAAGACTAATGTATTAAATCACCTTTCAAGTAATTTCAAACAGTAACTTCTAATGGGATCAAGATTAACAATGACTATAAAGTCAAAATCAAAACTGAAATGCACCAATTCTGCAAAACCAGGGCTACCAAAACAATCTAAGTCAATGAGTGCTGTTACTCAAATTCAGCCCTCCTTGCCTAACGTTTTATGTAAATGATGGTTAGTTACCTGAAGTTGTTCCACAGTTTCTTTGTGAGCTTTTTCCATACTGTTCATTTTTGTTCTCAAATTTGACTCTTGGTACTGAAAGTCTGCCTTTAGTTCAGTTAACTGAGAGATTAAAGAAAAAAGAGACATATGTATGTATTTGTACACACACACAAACACACACCACTATATATGTAACTTTCACAATGAACTCACAATTCATTACAAAAGTGGAAGATGTTCTTTGCAGTTTCCTGAATTGTACAACCTAAAATTTGTTTTGTGAATTGATGAAATCTACCTGCTTTACAATAGTGTGATTTTTATGCTAATACCCGACCATCAGTAAAATTTTTGAGTTTTCTTTTTTTTCTAAATGTAGCTTGACTGGGAATAGAGTTTGGCAACTGGTATGCCAACAAAAAAAGCTTAACGGCTAATAACTTGGAAAATGTCTCATTCAAAAAGGTACTTCAATAACATTTATAACAGTATAAACAAACATTAAAACTAGTTTAAGGGTAAAATAATCTTTCAATGCTTAAAGAAAGAAATTTCACACTGGGCAATATAAAAAGGGATGGTCTTCTCAGCCAAAAGCTACACTGTTTTTATTTTTAAATTTATGTCCAGGATTATGTACATAACCACCTAACACGAGGTAAAAACAGAAAACAAAGCAAAGAAATATAACTACAACGAATGAGAAAGGAAAGAGGGTTACTATAAAATTTGGGCTAATGTAAGAAAAACATCAGTGCTCTGAGAAAGGCTACATAATTTTTCATAAACATAAATGACATACATAAAAAGCATAACATCTCATGACTTCAAACCAAAGAATGAATTATTATGTAATTTCACTATTAGAACCATGCAGAAGCAGCTGCAAGTTATTTTTTTAACATTTTTCATTATGTCAGCTTTAAAGGTTTACACATTCTTTTGTAATTACCCAGTAGCTAATAAACTGAAAGACACACAACAGCAAAAACAGAAAATCATGGAGTCTTATATACTTATTTTTCCACACACACAAAAAAAGCCCTTGCTTTTGTCAAATTCAAAGTATAACTAAGTTCTCTCTCTCAACTTTCTATATTCACAAAAGATTTTCTGTTCTGAAATGCCAATTCACACCAGATCAGCTAAGACAATTACTCTATTCACTATACTGTGAGTTGCCCCCAACTATGAACTTCTGGAAGATAAGAATTATGTTTTAATTATTCATCTTTGCATCCTTATGAACTAGTTCAGTGTCTGGCTCTAGAAGTCACTAAATAACTCTGTAAAATCAATTCAGGAAAATAACTTGGTTGTCTTAGATTTATAAGAAAAAGCTGCAAATGTGTAGCTATTTAAGGTTTACCATTAGAATTTTTCTTACAACAATGCTAATTTCAATCCCCATTAGTATTTTGGTTTTTTTAAAGAGTAATACTAACAAAAGCAGAAAACTTCAACTGTACAAACAAAGATAATACATTTTATGCTAGAGAGGAAAGAAAAATCTAGTATAATACCTCTTCTGCTAGATAGGAAAGAAAAATCTAACAGTCAATATTCTATAACTGATTACTATTTGGTTTAAAAATCATTGCAATTTTGCAGTAAACTTGGCATTTTATTTAACTTTTCTCAAGGTTAATGCAGATATACCTGGCTTGTCTCTAAAACTTTGTACATAGAACAAATTTCCATAAAAGCTCATTAATTTAAAAAATGTTGTCAATTAAAAAGAACCATAAGACAAAGACACCCATAACCATCCTACTTTTATCTTGTATGTCACTCCTAAGTTTCATATACTGAATTTGCTTAAAGCAAGGTGTAAATGTATTAAAAATTAAGTCCACTAACCATCAAGGTGTCAGAAGATGTAACAAAAGTTATTGAATGCCAGAAGTAAAAGCCAGCTGATTCAAGTCTGTTACTATAGGTACTCAGAGATGAATATGATTCATATATGTATCCATAATAAGGTCTTATTCTTTTAAAAAGAAATGATTTTAGTGTTCTAATGCATAATAAATTTGATACAGGTCAAACTACACTGTCTGGGACCATAAACAAGTATAAAGATGATCAAGCATCAGTAATAACCCCTATGAGCGCTTTCACATGCCAAGAGCTACAGTAAATAAATGTATTTTCCTTAATCATCACAGCCGTCACTTGAAATAGTATTATGCTCTCATTTAAATGAGAAAACTGAGGCCCAAAGAAGTATACGTTCTGCTCCTGGTTACAGAGAAAATCTTAGAACTGGGATTTGAATCTAAGTATGGCTAAATAACTTCAAAACTGTTTACTGTTCCATGCCTGACCACTATTATGCCATCCTGATTTCATAGTACAAGACCTTAAATCTGTCTATAATTCTGTTAATATTCCTGTTTTTGCTAAATGGATAACACATTTGATATTCCTCTTGATTTAACTGATATATACACTTACTTCCTACAGAATGACCTTTTAGATTGGAATATCAAATATTATGTTTAAACTACTTTCTTAAATCACAAAAGTTTACAAAATATTCCATTTATATCTCATTTTTAAAGTATTAGTAGACCTATTTTTAAATGACATGTTTACTGAAAATTAAAGTTTAGAAATTATATCCTAATTAAGCTCTCAGTTAATTCTTACAGTTAAAATTCTGAAAGACCATTTTTTTACCTATCTTCATGAGATGGCTTGGGGGGTGGGAGGGCTTTTGTAATTTGTCTTATAAAAATCATGCATAACAAACATTACCAAATTATTTAAAAAGACTAATAAAATTTGTGATTATTAAGCAACCAACAGTCAAGACATAATTCTTATCAGGCTTCAATGAACGATGTTCTTACCTTTTTATCTTTTTCTAAAATGGTCTGGTCTCTCTGCTGTAAGAGACGCTTAAGTGACATCACTTCTTCTTTCAGTTGACTTATAAGGACAAAATTGTCTGTTCCCCCACTATCTGCTGACTGATTTATAGAGCTACTAAAAAGAAAAAAGTAAAACACAGTTAAATGAAGGAGAAGGAAAATTAGCAGGTGTTCAAATTGCATAAATTAGACAATTCCACAAACATCCTTAAGGCTAATGCAAAAAAATATGTACCTGACAGAAATGGATGCAACTGGCAAATTACCTTACTAATGGCACACATTACATACACCTGCAGAAATATAATTCAGTATTAGCTTTTAGGGGGTCAATACTTCTAGTGTAAAGCAATAGGCAGCCAATTTGTACAGTAACATCAGCAAACTTTTGGCTAATGAACTAAAACAAAGTCACGCTCATATTTTTAATCTAAAAACATTTTCTAAGCAGGTCAATTTAAAATATCACAATTAGATTTGTGTTTCATTGAAGAATAAAGATAAAAATAATGTTCTCCATTCAGATTTGATTTTTTTTTCAAAACCCAAATTTATTTCCCAAATAGAACAACATAGTTCAGTGCCACTTTCTTATTGCCAAAATTAAGTTAAAAATTTTAAACTGATTTATGTTTACTCTTCTAGGTGACTCAAGTCAATGTAGAAAATACCTGTTTCTAGTTTTTTATCTAGTAATAACTGGCAATCAACCATAACTATGCAACTAAACTGAATTTTCACAACACTAAAATAATTCATTTTTACCTATCTCCATTAGATGGCTTAGATTCCAATTTGGGCTTTTTCTTTGGAGTTTCATTCTGAATTGCTGCAGAGGATTTATGGCTGAAACCAAACAATAAGAATAGTTAGAGTAAAAAGGACAGAGGAACCAAATGATAAGTTATTCATCTTCCCCTAAAATATTACTGAAAATACTATTTTTGTAAGGCTTAAGTAACAAAGTTAAAGGAGTATCATACACTTATAAAAATACATTTCAAAATACTTCAGAAAATACAGCAATGTATTTACCTCTGTTTCCACAGTCCCTGCTCTTGTTCTGGACTTAGATTGCTGATTCTGAAAAATATATAAATGACATCTAATAACGACATTCATTTAATACATCTAAATTTAACATTCTTTCTCGACAGATACATATTATATGTTTATAATCTTTTGTTCAGAGAAAGGCATATTTAAGTTTTCAGATTAAGCTAATATCTGATGAGACAAATTTTAATCAAATGACTACTGGCCATCTTAAGTTCTTCAAGAATTCTTTTTAACCAGCATCTCCACAGTTCAATTTAATATCATACAAAGGTTGGAGTATACAAGCACAAAAACTACCACAACAAGATTCTAAAATTATAAAGTCTAGGTATCATTGTACTTTGGCTGCCCTTACCAATTCAGACTCAAAATTTGTATCTTTAAAGCTAAGGCTTTCCTAGTAATTTAAAGTAGAGATTCTTCCTTTGGAGTAACTCAAGTTGCTCATAATAGTATGCCTATTTAAATGGGAAAATATATTGATTTCGTTGATTCTTTTGCAGTTTTCTTAAAAATCCTCTTCAAAGTCCCTAGATCTCTCATTAGTATTCTGAAGAAGTTATGCTGAAGCTATTGGGAAATTTCATAGTAACAAATGATTTTACTTTTACTCCTAATTAACTGTAATACTCCTTTTCTATTTTGGCATAATACTAATAATCACTTTGTAATTCTCTATGAATCCTACATTTTTTTCCTCCTATACTTGACACATCAGTCAATCCTTTACTAACCCCTAGTTTATTCACTCCACATATAGAGTATCTCCTATGAACCAGATGCCATGTATTTATACAATTTAGAAGATATTGGAAAACCTAAGCTGTGACCTCATGCAAATTACTTAACATCCACGAGCCTTGGTTCTCTCATATGTAAAATGGATGTAATGCATACCTTACACTGATATGAGCATTAAATGAGTTATATATACAAAAGCACTTAGTATAGTGCTGGCGTATACAAAATAGATATATGCATACATATGTCTAAAATTTACTATTGGTTCAGCTGTAAAAGTTTTTTAAGCAAAAGAAAAAAAAAAAATTAAGACTCAGCTGTAAACCAATACCAAGTTGGGGGAAAACAGTAATAATTCCAACAACCTGAGTTCTTCTTATTTGTGAATGGAAATCCTACTGAGGGATGCAGCTGTCTTTTTTTTTTTTTTTTTTAACAAATTTCATTATAAGCGTAACAAGCCATACATGAATTAACAGCACTAACCATATCTCAAATAATAATCACATTAATATGACTGATAGAAACGTGGAATTCCCATCTTAGCTTTCTGAGGGTTGTCCATTCCTAGATTCAGATCCACATTAGTGCCACCCACACAACCACATCCCCTACTCTAGCCAATCACCATCTATCACAATATGTATGCTCCTCATTTTCAGTCTAATATATCGAACTTAAGATAGGACCCTATAAACTAACTATTATCAAATGGTCAATAGCCATCAAATAGAAAATAGTGTTTGTGGCCGGGCACAGTGGCTCACACCTATAATCCCAGCACTGTGAGAGGCGGGTGGATCACCAAGTCAGATCAAGACCATCCTGTCTAACATGGTGAAACCTCGTCTCTACTAAAATATAAAAAACTAGCCAGGCGTGGTGGCACGTGCCTGTAATCCCAGCTACTTGGGAGGCTGAGGCAAAAGAATCGCTTGAACCCAGGAGGCAGAGGTTGCAGTGAGCCAAGATCGTGCCACTGCACTCCAAACTGGCAACAGAGCGAGACTCCATCTCAAAAAAAAAAAAACAAAAAAACAAAAAAAAATAGAGTTTGTAGTTCTTACATAACCAAAAGTAAAAAAATTGAAGACTTTCAATTTCAATACTGTCTTCTTTCCCTTTATTTTTGAAACCTGTCATTTTTTCAAAAATTTGGTTGCTGTCACATACTTCAATCTTCACAAAAATAATCTGATTGTGTCCTTTTACAACATGCTAAGACAAATTTATCTGTAAAGAATAGAGAAAGAAGACATTTTGGCAGTCTTAGGAGTATGTCTAACATTGCTATTATAGTATATAGTTGTCACATTACTTCTTAAAGCAAGAAGCAAAATCGAGGAAGACTTATATTCCTTTGCTCCTTGAGATACTCTGATATAGAGATAACAAGATTTCTTCAAAACAACCAAAAGACAAGGTATTGCATTGTAGTCTACCCAATGGTAGAATTAAACATGACTAACCTCAACGTAACCTCATCATCTAAAAGGTGATTGAATATGGTTTAGAACAAATCTTACTAATTAGATAGAGCTATATTACATTCCAAAAATACTGCATTTGTTCCAAAATGTGGTGGGCATCAGTTTTTTGTAAATTCAGTTTTAAATTATCTGAAACTTTAAAGACTCTTAAACAAACAATAAATTCTTCTGAAAATGGGCATGCATATATCCCTGTTTTTTCCACTTTAATTTGTGTTTACATGAGTTTAATTTGTATTTTAATGTTCTTGTTTGTTCCATAAAGACTAAAACTGCATTTTAAAAAGCCTTCATACTACACACATCAAGGGTTAAGGTACTACTACTACTACATAACTCCTCCCCCACAGGTCACTTTAAAAATCAAGTACAGTTGACCCTTGAACAACCCAGGTTTGAATTGCATGGGACCACCTATACAAGAACTTTTTTTTTCCCAGGCAAATACGAATAAAAAATACAATATTTGGAAGATGTGAAACCTGCATGTATAGAAGGCCAACTTTTCCTATAGGCAGGTTCCACAGGGCCAACTGGAGTACATGCAAATTTTGATCTACGAGGGGGTTCCACATCAAATTCCTCAAGCATACTGAGGGAAAACTACAGTTGTCTGTTTTTAAGTAGGATTTTAAAAAACAGCAAAGTATCAGTAGTCAAAAATATTTCTCACATTTTGGGGACCACAAAGATTAGAAATGCTTTTATCGTAGTAACAAATTACAGTATTAAAATACGTTCTCCAAACCCAGTCATTGTTTTGTTTTGGTTTGGTTTGGTTTTAACAAAACAAATTGACCACTGAGAGAAATATAATTTTTCAAATAAAACCTTAACAATTATTTAAACAAAAAAGAAAACTGAGGCTTTTGATAAGTTATTTAAGTGTTAACTGATGTACTTGTATTTTGACTTTATATGATTATAATTTTATCATTTCCTAAATGTCTTACCTGTATTATGGTAAATAGCTAAACATATTCCATGTGTGTAACATTATACACTGAATAAAATGGAGACATGGCCTTAGACACGCAAGAAGCCTACTGTGTACAAAAGAAACTAGACCAGCACATAGTAAATATCTGCACAAAGTAAACACCAATAAATGGCATTAAAATGCCAGGAAGAATTTTAGAAAAAATGACTTCAAAGTACTTACTTGTGATGGCTACTGCTGTGACGATGGTGATGGTGATGATGGTGGTGATGATGTTTTGGATGATGCTGGTCTTTCTCAGTAAGAGATGAAGAAGATGAATTTGAATGTGATGATCCCAGGCTCTTCCTTTGTTCTTTCGTCTTCTGTAAAACTCTTTTGTATGATAAAGTACAGAGCCAGCATAATAACTTTCCGTCAACCTTTTAAGAAAATAAGTGTATTAAATTAAATGTACCCATATAAACCGACTCTGAATAAAACCAGGTAAGATAAACCACTCAACTTCTACCAATATTCCACACATAACATGCACAAATGCATGTATGTACATATTCACAAATCGTTTTGCAAAACAGACATAAAACTGGACTTTTCTGAAACTTGGGAAAATACTTGGTTGGAAAATTATAAAATTAATGAGGACGACATACAGATTTCCATTAGTTTTGAGGCATTTTTAATTTGAAGAAAAAAGACATGTTACCTTTTTTCTTATTCCAGGAGAGTAAGTATAAACTGACTGATATAATTCCAAGAAATAGAGCCTGAATTCTTAAATCACTGCACAATTACTGATAAAGTATTTCCGACTACAGTAAGTATTGTAAATTTACAAAAAACCAGAAAAGCCTAAATGATATAACACAGTTGACTCTCATTGTTCTTCATTTCCTATTTGTGTATTTGCCTACTCAATAAAATTTATCTGTGATCCCAAAAGTCAAAATTTGTAGCATTTTTGTGGCCACTGCATACATACAGAGTGGTGAAAAATCTCTATTTTGCACATGTTCCCAGCTGAGATGTAACAAGGTGATGCTCTGCCTTGTTTTACCTCTCAGACGGGTATCCTTTTCACAGTCTATTTGTGCCACGTTTTTTAAGTTTTTATATTCCCAAAGAGTACTGCTGAAGTGCTATACAGTGTTTCTAGGCTCAAGAAGGTTATAACATGCAATAGCAAAGACATGGAATCAACCCACATGCCAATCAATGGTAACTGGATAAAGAAAATGTGGTACATATACACCATGGAATACTATGCAGCTATAGAAAAGAACAAGATCATGTCCTTTCCAGGAATGTGGGTGGAGCTGGAGGCCACTATCCTTAGCAAACTGACAGAAGAACAGAAAACCAAATACTGCATGTTCTTACTTATAAGTAGGAGCTAAACAATGGAACACATGAACACATTGAGTGAAACAAACACTAGAGTGTATCAGTGGGTAGAGGGCAGAAAAGGGAAAGAATCGGAAAAAATAACTAATGGGTATTAGGCTTAATACCTGGGTGATGAAATAATCTATACAACAAACCTCCATGACACAAGTTTACCTATCTAACAAACGTGCACGTGTACCACTGAACTTAAAAAGAAAAAAAACATTAAAAATAAAAAAGGACAGGTGCGGTGGCTCACGCCTATAATCCCAGCACTTTGGGAAGCCGAGGCGGGTGGATCACAAGGTCAAGAGATCAAGACCAACCTGGTCAACATGGTGAAACCCCATCTCTACTAAAAATACAAAAATTAGATGGGAATGGTGGCGCACGCCTGTAATACAGCAACTCAGGAGGCTCAGGCAGCAGAATTGCTTGAACCCAGGAGGCGGAGGTTGTGGTGAGCCAAGATCGCGCCATTGCACTCCAGCCTGGGTAACAAAAGCGAACTCTGTCTCAAAAAAAAAAAAACGAAAGTTAAGAAGGCTGTGATGTGCCTTACAGAGAAAAATATGCGTGTTACATAAGCTGTGTTCAGGCACCCTTACTGCTGTTGGCCATGGGTTCAATTAAATTTATTGACAGTGTATATCAAGGAAGTTGTCTTCAAACAGTAACACAAACAAAAAAAGGTTATATATTGATCAACTGACCAACATGTTATTACTGGAAACGTGAACTTAATCCTATATTTCTCTTGGGCAATGCTTCAGTACAGTAGTCCCCCTGACAAACAGTTTTGGTTACCCATGGTCAACCTTAGTCTAAAAATGATAAATACGATATGATATTCTGAGGGAGAAAGACCATATTCACATAACTGCAACTAGAGTAGATTATTGTAATTGTTCTATTTTGCTATTACTTTTGTTAATCTCTTATTATACCTAATTTAAAAACTAGACTTTATCCTAGGCATGTATGTACAGTAGAAAACAAGGTAGAGTTCATTATTTTCCCCAGTTTCAGGCATCTATTCCATCCAGGTGGTGTTAGAAGGTATCCCCCATGGATAAAGGAGGGTACTACTATATTCACTTGTAGGAATTTTAAAGAACTGCAAATAATGAGAATCAACTGTACCTGTCTCAGAGAAGAGAGAGAGTGTTTCCAAAAGTACTGACTAAACCTTTAAAAATAAAATCAAATTTTTATCTGTTTGTTCACATCTATTCCATCCAGAGTATTCCAAAGTATGTATGGACCAGATGTGCTGGAGGGACAGGTCTTATAACGGGGAATATACATTGCTGTGGGGAGACCTGAGGAAGCTCCTCAAAGAGCACTTCCCCAAATCAGCTAAAATTGATAGGCAACAGAAGGACTGTGTGAATGCTGATCGGCAGAGGAATATCACATGAACACATATGCTTATTATATTAAGTCACTGTAGGTAAACAAAAACAAACAGTGGTTTCAAATATGAGCCTATATCAAAAGGCACAAGAGTAACTGAATTTTAGGTGCCAATGTCCCATCAGGTATTTTTTTTAACACAAGCAATGTCAAGTAAACAGCAAGGCGGTAAAGTAAAAGAAGTTATTTAACAGTAATTAGTTAAATCTCCTGAACCAAATGTGGGATAGCCAATTAGTACAGAATAGCCACCACAGAATATTTTTTATAGTACATGAATCACACAAGGAGGACACTCACTATTCCTGCACTTTCATCTAATTACTTGTTTTCACGGACCCAAATAGATCTTGTCTCAATAGTGTATTAATTATAATTCCCACCTTGTTTGGCATTTTATTTAATTTCTAGAAAATGTCATAACATAATGAGGCATACCTTTCTTCTTCCTTCCTCCTTCCGATCAAAAGCACATTGTTGTTTGCACTGTTCACAGGTCTGAGGTGGTCCATATTTTTTTTCTGAATTTGTGCAACGCTGACACTTGGTACCAATAAATGCTGCAATTATATTACAGTACTGACAAGGCTTGGGCTGAAAAACACATACATTTTACATAAGACTTTTAAAATATTAAATATTTGTTGCACGGCATATACCCAGCATTATAGACATATTTCTGGAATTAAGAAAACCCATACGTAAAAAATTTGTTCTCTATCAAGTCTGTTGTCCTGTCATATGAAATAACTTTTATGCTATATTTCCAAGCATTCAACTAGTATTTACTTCTAGTCATAAAACTATTACTCTAAGATTACAAGAAACAGATTTCTGATTTGCACAGTCTGTTAGGTAATACAAAACCTACACATAAAAACAGTTTCAAAGAATGAAAATAAAGGTATACATGTATAGAAATCTCATGAATAAAGAATTTGAGGAAATGTCCTTCTTCTGATTTAATATCCTAGTTAGCTTATTGACCGTATTATTTACTCAAAAAATATTAACTTTTCATCGCATATAGGTATAAATAATACAAAAAATATATACCATAAGCAAGTTTTCAACTTAAAAAAAATGGGGACCAGCATATCCAACATAAACCATAAAAACATACCTTGATTTTCTTTGATACTCAAAAGATGATTCAGAACAGTTTAGAACATTAAGGTTAGCATTTTTGACCAATAATAAATAATATTGGTATAATATACCTACAATGATTGTAGTATACATCCAAGACAATTTGTACTAGGATTGTGTCATAACTTCTGTGAATAAATATCTTAATTGTGCTGTTTTATAAAAATAGTTTTGAGGAGGTTGTTATGAAGTGGGCTAAAGTCTGATCACACAAATTTTAAGGATACAAATTTGCTCTATTTGAATCTTTAAAGGATAGCTTCACAAATTTCACAGATATTGAATACAGGTAAAACGTGCATATAATTTAACTTTTTAAATATTGTCACATTTCCATCAAAATGTCTACAGAAAATTTGTTTCATAAAATATCATATGTTGAAATATTTAAGAGCATAACAATACATAGTTTCTAAAAGGTCCAGCTTTGTGAAAAATATTAACTGACTAGTAATAATGACATGAAATGAAAACCTAAGACATACTTACCGTCCCAAATTGCTTCACATTTTGAGCACACTTCTTACAAATTGTGTTAGTTTTGCTGAAAAAGAAATTGTATATAAATGATCACGTTTATGCAGCTTTCTAAGGTAATTAGCACAATGCCAAAATAAAATGAGTGAGTCAAAGGTTTGTAGGCTTAAAACTTATTCTAATATGGACCACGGATTTTTTTCAAAAATACAAGAATGTTTTTAGGGTTGTTTCACCCAAATTAAGACAAATGTTTTAATACATTTTTATTGCGTATTTCTTTTTGTAAAGAAAACATCTTACTGTTTCCTACATGGCTCCAAAATCTTCTCACTTGCCACTATTAACGCACAGCACTTCAATACCAGTGTACACCTAGCCTTCTAATTGGCTATTGTCCAACATTATAATGCCCACACCTACTTATGAAGAAATTATTTGTTTCTTCAGAGGCTACTTTCTGTATATACTGTTAGAGTGGTACTCACTGTTAAAAAACTTAAGTACTACTCTTCCATGTAACAAATTTCTAGATTTCACCCTTCAAAGGCAATTGGTAACACTACAGACCTCTCCTCAGGTCCGTAATTGCTTTATTATATATTTTTTTTAGTTTAACAGTAACTGTTTACATTTGCATTTTCATTAGCAAGGCTATACATTTTCCATGTAGTAATTCATTCTTTCTCTCATATAAAATCTAACTGTAAATTAACAACCACCAGTTTTTTTGGCAACATTCTCCCACCACACATAAAAGGTTTACAACTTAAAATTTCTGGGGCTAAACAATTTTTTAAAAATACTTTCATAAATATATGGCATTATAACCTCCAGGTATTCTATACAGACAACACTTCTCTTTAACAGTCAAAAACTGTTTAATATACAAACCTCTCTTGCTGAAATTCTGATCTGCAGTAAGTACATTTTACAATAGGATGTGCAATCCGACATTCCTGTAATAAGACAATACATCAGTCAGTATCTATTTGAAAGTCCCAAATCTCACTTTTCTAGTAGAAAATTGTTTACCCAACCTAGTGAAATGTCTAAAACATTGATAAAACGTGGCCCCAACGTAAAGAACTGGATGTTTTATCATGTAAGTGGCCAATCACAGTATAATTCCTTAGGGAAGGCATAGGTGTCTTTGTCTTTAGCAGACGTGGGGGTATATTACAGACAAATTAAGAAAGCTGTCAGGGCCGATTCCAAGGATTGGTTAAATGTGAAACTACTTATTATCTTGCACCGTTGCTCACAGACAGCATCCTGGCTTTAATGGGATGGGAGGAGCTCCAAATCATAGAGCATTCTGTTCCCAAACCAGTCGCTTCGCTTTCCTGGACAGGGAAGAAGGATGCCATCAGCTTTGCGGCTTCGGGTTCCTAGCAAGAAAGTGCAAAAACCGTCCCCTGCCTCCTGGTGGAAGAAGAGGACAGACCAGGCAGAAAACCGAGATGAAAACATCTCCACCCCGGGGTCTCTGCGGCATAGACAGGTGGCTGCCTCACTCAACCCCACCCGAGACCCCCTGACGCTGACGGGGCCCGGCACCGTCCTGGGCCGCCTGGAAGGGGGCACGATTCTGCCCCCCTCTCAGGGACCGTTCCCAACTGATGCTCAAGCCCCCGGAAAAAGGGGTCCCCCAGTGGGGAGGCGAGGGCTCCAGACTCCCAAACCCCTGAGGCGCCGGCGAAGAGAGAGGGGCTGCAGCGCAGCGGTCACCCGGCCCGCCTCGGATTACAGCCGAGGATACCCATCCCGCCCGCCTCCCGGAGTCCACGGACCTTGCAGAGCTGCTGGCCCTGGGAGAGCTCCTCGAAGGGATAGCGCTGGGTACACTTGGTGCAAGCGTACAGGGCCGAGGCCGCCATCCTGCTCCTCAGTCTCCTCCTCCGCCACCGCCCGCTCCGAGGCGGGGCCCTACGGAGAACTCGAGAGCCGCTGCCACCGCCCGGGCCGCGGGCTCCGGCTCCTCCTCCTCCTCCTCCTCCCCCCCTCCCCCTGCCTCGCGCCCACCACAGAGCCTCGCCGTGAGAGCCCAGGGCTCCACGGACGGCGCCACCGTCTCCCTCCGCCTCCACTTCCGCCCCAGCCCACCCAGTGACGCTGTGCCAGCCGCTGCCGCTTAGGCCCCGATAGCGGCGGAGGGAGACGAAGCGGGTAGCTGGTTGCTGTTTAGCTGCGCGGCTGCAGATCCGCTTCCTTCTCGGCCTCCCTTCCCCATGCCTGATTGGCTGTGGAGGCCACCGCGTCACTCGGAGGCTCCGCCCAACTCCCAACTTCCGCGACGCAGGGAGCACCCACAAAGGGAGGAAGTCGCTGGCCAATGACAGTCAGGCGCTCTCAACGCGCGAAATCCGCTTTGAACCTGCCCCGCCCAAAGGTCTGCGGTCGCGGCTATTAACAGCCAGTCCCAGGTTTGAGTGAGAGCGCCTCAACCCAATTGGGCAAATGTTCGCGAACGCATTGCTCTTTGCCGCAACTCTTTTCCCTTGCCTTCTATTGGACTAAGTCATCAAGTCCCTCCTAATCCTATTTGTTATTGGCCAAAAGGTCAGTACTTCACCTGCAGAGGCGTTCCCCGAGGCAAAACTCACACACTCTCCAGCGTGTAATCCGAGGGAACTCGGGGAGTGCTTGAACTTCGCCTTGGCTTTTGTTCTATCTCCATTACTCCGTTCAGTTGCCACTGGCGACAACACTACTTACCTACGCTTCTTACTGGAGGAGGCCCGCCCCTCCATAGAATCCCCGCAGAGGCGGCTAGTAGCCCGCAGCGTTCTCGGCCCCCAGCGGGCTCCGCTACGCGCTACCTTGTGACGTCACCGGGGAAAAGGCGGATTCTCTCCTACTGCCGGAAGACGTCTGCTGTTTTGATTGGCTGGGGAAGACGTCCGTTAGGGCGTGTTGCCCGTTCTGTGTGCTCTGTGAGCGTAGGCGTTTCTGAGGGTGTGTGTGGCAGGGGTTTCCAAAACCAGCACCAGCACCCTTGCCCTTTTCCATCAGGGGTTTAGCTTAGGGTCGCCCCTGGTGGGCGGCTCCGGAGTCTTGAAGAAGACCACGAAAACCCCTGGGCAGGCTGAAAGATGGCGGCGGCGTCGGTCTCTGCGGCTTCTGGTTCTCAGTTCTCGGTAAGAAGTTGGCGCGAGTGGGCCCCACGTCGGCCCCTAAGCGCCTCTTTGAGTTTCCTCACGTTTTAGGGCGCTGACAGTCCAGCTTCTGACCCCATTCTGGAGGACGGCGGGGGAGCCTAGATTGCCCCGTGCTCCTCAAGTTTCCATTCTCTGTTCCTCTGTCGAGGCTGCGCCCTCTGGCTTCCAGTGAAACTGGGCTGGCTCTTGTCAGTTCCCCATCCCTCATTCACCTTTCGGCGTAGCAACCTCGGTTGCCTAACATTCCCAAGGCTTGGCTGGGACAACTGCCCAGTCCCTGGCTTGCGAAATCCTAGTTCCTTTGGTCACGTGGCTTCAGCAGCCCCTCTAGGAAACTTCAGATCAGGTAGACGCCAGTGTGTTTGAGAGAGAGCTACCGAGTCCGCCGTCTCGAGCGCTTGCTAGCCATTGCTTATGCTGTTTCTTAGACCTGCAGTACCTCCCACTCTCATCCTCTCATTAACTTTGTTGTGTGATCCTCGTAGCCGGAGCTCGCTCTTCCCACCACCCAGAATTACTAGGACTAATGTGGAAATGCAGTTTTGGAGAGGCGACAGGGGAACTGAATTTAAATAGTAGTTTTGCCTCCTGAAAGGTCACTAGCCAGTTTAGTCACTGGCATTTGTCATATTGGTATGTCTAACGCTTAGGTTTTTAAAAACCGCGGCGTAAGGAAGAGATAGGAAGTAAATGTGACAAAGCCAAAGTTGGAGCCCTTGCCTGGGCTGAGGGTCCAAATGAATAGGGTAGAAACCCTACTTTGAAGGCGCAAAACACTGAAGAGCAACTGCACGTAATTAGGTGATTACTGCGCCATACGGTAGTACTAAAGTAATCTAGAAGGGAGTGATTAGCAGTGCTTGGGTAGGTTCGAGGTTCCTAGAAGAGAAGTTGAAGATATGCTTGTCGAAGGAATTGTAATTGCTTGTACCAGGAGTAGAGGAAGGAGAAGAAGGCACTGCAGGAATTTTGGAGTATGTTCCAGGACAGTAGGTGCTTTCAGGAAACTTGAGATCATTTGGAATGAGCAGGAGTAATATGGTGGTAGAGTTGGATGAGATGAATTGGAAACATAGGGAAAAACATGGAAAAAAAAGGGATGATTAGGGAAGGAGCTGGTAGACTATCAGGACAAAGATATTTTGTAGAATCTAAGTGGGAGAGAGTGGGGAACGCTGAGAAAGCCTTGCCACCTTGGAGAAGTCAGTTTCAGCTTTCAGAGACTTGTTAGAATTTGTAATAATGGGACCAGAAGTATTACAGTGTTTGAGCAGAATGGGAATTACAAGTTTGCACAGAGGTGTGGAGAAGTTAAGAAGTAATGAAAGCAACAATTGAAGTTTATTTAGGATTAGGTCAGTAAAAGAAAAAAGTAAGATAAGCTATTAGAAGTGTCAGCAGATGGAAGATGGATGAGATTTTATTGGACATGTGATTAAACTTGGGGAGAACAGGGCTTTTTACTGCTCTCAAAAGTTAAGCACTTGGAGACTGAATAAGGAATACTCATAAATGTTGAATTGAGTCTGGGTGCCGTGGCTCATGTCTGTAATACCAGCTTCTAGGGAGGCTAAGGCGGGAGGATCACTTGAGCCCAGGGAGTTTGAGGCTGCAGTAAACTATGATACTGCCACTGCTCTCCAGCCTGGGCGACACAGTGACCCTGTCTCTATAAAATAAAATATTAAATAAATGTTTAATTGAGTTGCATTATGCCAAGGCCTCCTAGCTGAGCATTGGCACTGGGATATAGTCAGCTCTTAGTACTTACTGTAGCATTGACAAAAATCCCAAAGACTGTTTAGTAGGAAAGCAAATATATATTTTTTTGCTAAGCTCAGCTTTCATTACATTCTAAGTATCAGGGGTATACTAAGAATATCTAGGATCCTCTACAAATCAAAGTATAACAACCATAAGTCAATCTGCTACATCCAAATGTCTAACTTGGAAGTTACCATTTCTCAAAACAAAAATGACTAACTTTAGTTGTTTTCTTAGTGCATAATAAAAGGTCCTGCTTAGATGTCCCATCAGAAATAAAATAAGGCCGCCATTTCCAACAGCATTGGAAAAGCACTTAGCTTAACAAACAGCTGATCTTAACATAAGGCAGCATTAAAAACAAGAAAAGAAAACTTGTTAAAACTATGCCATGAACTGAGAAGGCAACTTATATTCAGATTTCAGGGTTGTGAAAATTAACAACTTATATTCAACAGTTTTTGACATTGATAAACCCATACGGAGCTAGTTATAAGTACATCGAGATGCTTTACAGGCAAGGATTTTTTAACAAGTAGATTCATAAATAACCATCTTTAGGAAGTAGGGACTGTGTAAATCTCAAATGAATGACGTGGAAGTAAGGCAATAGGTTTCAGTTAGGTCTAGGTAACATTTATTGAGTGATTGCTCTTGAGTTGATAAACTGGACTCATGGAAAAGGCAGGAAAGCAACTATGATTGGGCATAATGAAATTAATTCCATATAGAGGTATGGGCAGCAAAGTGTTGAAACACACGAGTGTCTTTCACATCAGCCTTGTAATGTTTTCACAACCCTGGTGAAAACGCCCTGTCACTTTGGACTTAATGAACTAATCTCTTCATTTGTCTCTCTGACTTTTTGGTTAGGTCCTTCAACCAAGCTGTACAGTAGCTCCATATTAATTTCCCTTAAAAATGTTTTATGGCTGTCTTACACATTTTATAATATGAAATATAAGATTTACTTTTTGAGAATAATATGAATACCTCGATGTTCCTTTTTGTGTTTTCTTCTTTATCCTAACCACACCCACCCACTACACTTTTTTTTTTTTTTATGAGCCAGAGTCTCGCTCTGTCGCCAAGGCTGGAGTGCAGTGGCGTGATCTCTGCTCAGTGCAATCTCTGCCTCCCGGGTTTAAGTGATTCTCCTGCCTCAACCTCCTGAGTATCTGGGATTACAGGCACGTGCCACCATGCCTGGCTAATTTTTGTATATTTAGTAGAGACAGGGTTTCACTCGGTTGTCAGTCTGGTCTCTAACTCCTGACCTTGTGATCCCGCCGCCTTGGACTTCCAAAGTGCTGGAATTACAGGCGTGAGCCACCACGCCCGCCCCCCACGACACATTTTAAGATTATAATATATGGTATTTATATAGGACTATCTGGCAAGCATAGTCCTTAAAGGCACTTTAAGCACTTACCGTATGTTAACTCATTTAATCCTCACAATAACCTTCTGAGATTGGCATTAATATTTCCTTTTTTAAATGAGCAAAACGAGGCAGAGAGAGGTTGAGTCAAAGTTATCTAGCTAGTAAATGACAGTATCTTGATGGGCTTTGGAGTTAATGGGTTTTGTTGTTTATTTGTTTGCCAGACACAACTCAGGAACAGCCAGATAGAGGAGACATAGGGCAAGGTGTGAAAGGGTTTCTATACCCTCTGTGGGGCAGCATCTTTCCAGCATATCGGTATGTTCAACAATCCAGAAGCTCCCAAAAACTCATTATTCAAGAGTTTTTATTGAGATTTCATTACATATGTACATAATTGAGTAAATTATCCACTGGTCATTGGGCTCAATCTCAGCTTCTTACCTCCCGTGAGGTCAGGGTGTAGGGCTAAAATTTGTAACTCTTCCTTCCCCCCCACCCCACCTCACCAGGCAGAGTGTCACTGTCCCGTTGGCTGTAGTGCAGTGCTGCAATCTCGCTCCACCACCTGGGTTCAAGCAATTCTCTTGCCTTGGCTTCCTGAGTAGCTGGGATTATAGGGCACACCACCACACTCAGACGATTTTTTTGTTTTTTAGGTAGAGATAGAGTTTCACCATATTGGCCAGGCTTGTCTCGAACTGCAGACCAACCTCAAGTGATCCGTCCACCTCACCCTCCCAGAGTGCAGGGATTACAGGCGAGAGCCACCACTCCTGGATGAAATTTGTAGCTCATTATAATCTAGTGGTTGGTTTTTCTGGCAGCCGCCTCCCAGAAGATACCTTCAAACCTGAAGCTATCCTAGGGGCCCTACCTTGAGTCCCCTCATTAGCCTAACAAAGACACCCCTATCACTTAAGAAATTCTACGAGTTATTGAATCTGCATCTGACACCAAGGACAAAAGATAAAATACATTTTTTGTTACACCGCAGGACATACCGGTAATAAAACATGTATACGTCATGAGGGGTGATATAAAATAGCGAGTAAAGGGTAAGTGCACTAACATACAAAATGTAGAACAGAGGTGGTTCCGTTTTGGAACTAGTTTATTATTCACCTAATCACATAATTAATGTTATTCATGACTGGGCAGAGGATGGTCATCAAGTCACTTGATATTTTTGAGTGTTAGATACGATTCTGGTGGGTTGTAAATAACCAGTGAAGACCTAAGGTTCTCTGTGACATATTTAAATTAAGCTATGCAAAAAGTCAGGATGCTTTGCAAGACCTTTGACCATATTATAAAGAATTGAAAACTCATCCTACTTTCCAGTTATCTCTAAAACCAGATGCCAATTTGCCATTAAGTTTGGAAAATGACAAATATTAGTCGTTGTTGTATATGAACACAATATAGTAGACTTAGCACTTATTTGAGGACCACTTTTAAGACTTGTTTCTACTCTGCTAAGCTTTTTGTCTCCACTTTTGATTTTCATAGCCGTAGTGTATTTTATATTTACATAAATAGAAAATGTTTTATATTTGCTTTTTTAAATAAACTGGAAATTTGCATAATTTTTAACATGAAAGTAAAAGCTTTAATTTTAAATAAGATTTAAATACAGTGCAGGTATTTTGATAGCCTTTGTTTAAGGAGATTGTTTTGTGCTCTTGTACTTTACTGAACAGATTATTCTGATACTTTATAAATAGATGTCTTCAAATGTAAGAATTGAAAAACATAGTTTGCTGTGGCCTTTTGAGGAAGGAAAGTGAATGCTGAAAATTTTGAACAGCTGGCAATTACTATCTTCAACCCTAGCCCTCAGCTTCTTATATACTTCCCCCAGTCTAGGTTCATCTGTCAATAGGAAGTCATCTACAACAAATGAAACTCTGTAGTTAGCATTCCTTAGGTTGAAATTATTATGTGAAATCCTGAATTTAACAGAATCTTATTCATGACAGAATGGTGTACTGTGGAAATAAAGTTTTGTATTTGAGTGTTTGATGGGCCTTAGTGTTTTCTAATTATTTTCTTTTTTCTTAATTAAATGTAAATTATTTGAGGCAATAATGTAAAATGTAAATAATGAAAAAAATGTAAATTATTTTCTTTCTGGAGTTTTGAATACTATAAATATTCAGATAGTATTTTGTTGATGGGGAATAGAGTAATCAGTCATTTGTAGCAGTTTCTGGTCCTGTAAAATTATGTACTTATTTTTCTGAATGTATATTTCACAGTACATATTTTTAACTACTGCATTTACATTTGTTGTTATCATTTAAGTATTTCTGCACAGCATTTGTATTCAAGTTGTGTGAACATTATTTGCTTTCTATAGTGTCTGCTTTATGGCCGTATTTAGACTAATATGAAACACTTTAAGAGTTGTATTTCTTAGAAATAAATAATGGTTGAATTCTGTTGTTTATAGTCAGTGGATTTTTCTGTTGTCTATATGAACAGTCTAGTTCTCAGTCATAAATATTTGTGGTTTAAATCTGCTATTTATAGGTTCACACTTATGAAAGATAATTTGTGTCTTTATTTTTCAGAACATCTTAACTGACCCATCAAGGTCTAATGGAAGTATGGTTCGGCATTCTTCATCTCCATATGTTGTGTATCCATCGGATAAGCCTTTCCTTAATAGTGATCTACGACGCTCCCCGAGTAAGCCTACACTTGCCTATCCAGAAAGCAACAGCAGAGGTAATCGAGCCTAACAAAATAGATGTTACTTGTGTTTACTTGCTGCTTTAAAATTCTTAATTTTGTCCTGTATTATTTTGCAATTAAAGGAAAATGTATTTCCCCTTTGCTTTCAGTTTTTAGCCCCCACAAAATATTATGCTTTTCTTGTATTCCTTATATTGACTGTTAAACATCATCATCCACCAAATTACTGATGCTAAAATACTTTTTTTTTTCTGATTAAAATTTTTTATTGCATTTTAGGTTTTGGGGTACATGTGAAGAACATGCAAGATTGTTGCATAGGTACACACGTGGCAGTGTGATTTTCTGCCTTCCTCCCCTTCACCTATATCTGGCATTTCTCCCCATGCTATCTCTCCCCAACTCCCCACCCCCCGCTGTCCCTCCCCTATTCCCCGCAACGGACCCCAGTGTGTAGTGGTCCCCTCCCTGTGTCCATGTACTCTCATTGTTCGATACCCACCTATGAGTGAGAACATGCAGTATTTCATTTTCTGTTCTTGTGTTGGTTTGCAGAGAATGATGGTCTCCAGGTTCATCCATGTCCCTACGAAGGACACGAACTCATCGTTTCTTATGGCTGCATAGTATTCCATGGTGTATATGTGCCACATTTTCCCTGTCCAGTCTATCATCGATGGGCATTTGGGTTGGTTCCAGGTCTTAGCTGTTGTAAACAGTGCTGCAGTGAACATTTGTGTGCATGTGACCTTATATTAGAACGATTTATAATCCTTTAGCTATATACCCAGTAATGGGATTGCTGGGTCAAATGGAATTTCTATTTCTAGGTCCTTGAGGAATTGCCACACTGTCTTCCACAATGGTTGAACTAATTTACGCTCCCACCAGCAGTGTAAAAGTGTTCCTATTTCTCCACATCCTCTCCAGCATCTGTTGTCTCCAGATTTTTTAATGATCACCATTCTAACTGGCATGAGATGGTATCTCAAGGTAGTTTTGATTTGCATTTCTCTAATGACCAGTGATGATGAGCATTTTTTCATATGTTTGTTGGCCTCATGTATGTCTTCTTTTGTATAGTGTCTGTTCCTATCCTTTGCCCACTTTTGAATGGGCTTGTTTGTTTTTTTCTAGTAAATCTGTTTAAGTTCTTTTTAAATTCTGGATATCAGCCCTTTGTCAGATGGGTAAACTGCAAAAATGTTTTCCCATTCTGTTGGTTGCCAATTCGCTCTAATGACTGTTTCTTTTGCCTTGCAGAAGCTGTGGAGTTTGATTAGGTCCCATTTGTCTGTTTTGGCTTTTGTTGCCAATGCTTTTGGTGTTCTGGTCATGAAGTCCTTGCCTACTCCTATGTCCTGAATGGTTTTGCCTAGATTTTCTTCTAGGTTTTTTATGGTGTTAGAATGGTTGACTTTCTCCCAGGTGTTCTATTCGCCTGCTGAAAAGGTGCCTAGATCTGTGTGATTTCTCGTGCAGCGACCCACTGTGCCAGCTGAAACAATGGCGTTGCCTGGGAATCTCCTGGCCTGGCTCCCTGTTTCTGTCCCCTGTTTAATCAGATGAATGGGCGACTCTGCCTTCCCAGAGCTCTAATCGCCAGCTTAAAAAGGCAACCAGACCAGTGTATTTTGTTTGGAGAACCGCCATGCTGGGGAGCCGGCAGAATAGCCACACTGGCGACCCGTGGGGCTCCTCCACCTGGGAATCTCCTGGTCTGTGGGCAATAAAGATTCGTCTGGAAATGCGGCATCCACTCACCCTCTGAGCTTTCACAGGGAGCTGCAATCCTGAGTTGCTCCTAAACCGTCATCTTGGATCTTTGTTAAAAATACTTTTAGTCATCAATGACTGCTCTGTCATCTCCACTATTAGTCCGGAATAAAGACCTTTTTTTGCTTCTGAAATATACCAAAAGCCTGCTGGTTCTTTTGCATTTTTGTTTTCTCATTGCTTTGGTTTAGGCTTTCATCATCTGTAGCCCAGATGTTCATAATACATTCTTCATTAATCTCCTTGCCCATTTTCTCCTCCTCATCCCCAGTTAACAGCATTTCTGTCATTTGTCATTATCCATCATCTCTTCCACAGAATTCAAGTTTTAGCATCTCTTCATGGCTTACCTAATAAATTCCTAATTTTTCATGACGTAGACCCCATCTGTGTCAACAACCTCATCCCTAACATGTCTTCTGTTTTTACCTTTCCCATCCTATTTTCTGGCTACTTTGAAATATATTTGTTCTGAAACTTGCCATCTGTATTAATTTTCTCGTTGCCTTAACAAATTGCCGTGAACTTAGCTTTCAATACCACGTATTTGTCATCTCAGTTTTTTTGTAGGTCAGAAATCTATGTAGGCTCATCTGGGTCCTCTGTTTAGAGCCTTACAAGACTGAAATCAAGGTGTTATCTGGGGTTCTGTTCTTTACTAGAGGCTCCAGGGAAGATCTGCTTCCAAGCTCATTAAGATTCTTAGCAAAATTTAGTTCCTTGTGATTGTAGGACTGAGATTCTGTTGCCTTGCATTCTCTTACCTAGGAACAGTCTTTGCTCCTGGAAACTGTCCTCGTTCCTTCATGTTTTCCTTATGGTCTCCTACAGTAACAGTAGGTAGAGTTTCTTTGTGTTTCAAATCTCTGACTTTTGCCGTTATATTTCTCTAGCCACAGCTGAAGAAAATTTTCTGGTCATGTTATCAGATTGGGCCCACTCAGATAATGAAAAAATGGTTCTTATATTGAATTTGTTAATCTTTTAGATGTTTTTTCATCTGTATTTTTAAAAATATACCTACCTTATACTTTGTGTATGTGTGAAGTTTAAATGAAATATCTTTGCTTTATTTGGGATACTACAGCATTTCCTTTTTTAAAAAGATATGTTTAATCACTAATACTGCAACAAATATATGTGTTAATGCTTCTCCAGGTAAAAGAAATGTATTTTTGGCATCATATGCTAAACAGGCAGTTGTAAATTAGTTGAGGAACTTTTTGTTTCAACTGGGATATGTATTGTAAGTATCCTAAAAATCTCAGAATGAAACTGTTTTGTAAATTGAACTGATTGCACATCAAAATATTAAGTAGGTGATGATATCCAAATACCAGTTTAAATCCTAACCTATGATGGGTGCTGAGAAGTGTTTGTTGCAATAAATGTAACTAGCTAGTGTGATGTCTTTTAAGAATTTCAGTACTCTATAATCACTAACCTAGAAGCCTCTTTATTATAAGATACTGTGTCTCAATGATAATGAAAATTTTAATTTAATTAATGATTAAAGCAATTGATGTTCTATACATCAGAGTATAGCAGATTGGCAACTTAAGAAAATTAAGTTGCATGACATTCAAACAGTATAGATTTAAAAAGCGAAAAATAATAATAAAATAACAAACCCACAGTAGAGCAAAAATCAGTTTCAGTAAAAAAACAAGCACAAAGCAAAATATCCATTTAACAAAGTTCTAACAGAAACACAAAATATAAGAATTAGATATTAGTCCTTCAACTAGATAAAGTCTAGTACTGATCTTTACACTCATGAAATTTTTAAAAAGTTCAAAAAATGACAAATTACTAACAAAGAATAAGAAAAATTAAGAAGGGAGATATATTCACAGAGTCAAAATTTTTAGCACAGCATGTTACTAATGCAGCTAAATTCTGCTTAAGTGCAACATCAGTGGTCTTAAGAAATAAAAGAGAAGTGGGGGAAGAGGAGATGGAGAGGAGAAATAATCAAGATAAAAAGTAACCTTCAAGACAGTAAATAAAGTTTTTATGTCTTTAGAACATGGTGGTGTGAACTGTTTAAGCAGTGTCCCAGGATAGTCATTACAATCTAACAATGTCCCAGGATAGTCATTACAATCCACTATCCTTTTATAATGTGTGTTTTAATACAACGATACTTACTTTCCAAATGGGAAGGGAAGACACGGAAGTCACCATCCCCTTCTCATTCAGAAAAGAAGTAAAGGCTGTGAGATATGAACAAATACCAAGAGAGTTCTGAAAAGACATTTGCGGGGGACCGGGATAAGTGTGTTGGGGAGGTTAGAGGAGAGGAAAACCTCCCAGAGGAAGAATGAGATAATAGATAATCTGAGCTGTAAAGAATCAGTACAGTTCTATAAGAAGAAAATTTCAATGAGAGTACAGCATGTGAAAGGTTTATAAACCTGATATGATTTGTATTGCTTCATCAAGGACAATTGTGGCTTAGTTTTTTCTTACTGGGAATTTATGACAATGCCTAAAGTGAAAAATACAGTGCCAAAAATTACAGTTTAATAATTACTACCTTGATTTGAGCTAAAATTAGGAATTTTACCCAACAATGCTTTTGCATCATCATTGGCAAACTTCAAACACAATGAAAAAGCAAAGTCTTACTATTAATAATAATTATAAAAGTAGTGGTGACCTCACAGACCCTGGGAAACGCCTCATGAGTCCTGCCCTCAATGTGCCTGTGCCCCACATTTTGAGAACCACTATAATTAAGGATATGAGTACGTCCAGAATAGTATTTTATTCATGTAACTACTTTTTTTCCAGGTGTGAGAAAAATGTAGATAGCAGCATCTGTTCCAGAATCTAGATGATAGCTCCTTGAGGGTAAAGACTGTCTTCATTATCATTATATTATCTCCTTCACCTTGCAGAGTGCTTCACATATCGTATGTGGTCTGTATGTTTGTTGGACTGAGGTTTACATCAGAAGTAACTCTAAACTGAAGCGGCAAGACCGAACAGGAGACTAAGATAAGATTTATGCATATTTTGTTGTAGGAATGAGGAAGATAGAGAAGTCTTTGAGTCTGATATTTTTAGTGTAGATGATTAGTAGTGTTATGATTAAGACAGATCACAGAAAAAAGTATACTTAGGAATTGATGATATAATTTTGGCTGTATCAAATTTGAGATGCCTGTGAATTAGATGGAGATGAATAATAAGCAAGTGAAAAGTCTGAAGTGTAATAGAGAATGCTGCACTGATGAACTCAGGCATCATTAAGGATACAGTAGTGGATGAAGCCCATGAGTATAGAGGGGTTTCTCCAGAAAAAGAAAGCAGAGAGAGAAAAGAACTTTGGAAAATACCACCATTTAAACAGTAAACTAAAAAGTGGGAAAAGTAAGAAGGTGGAGAACTACCAAGACAGCAATACTGGAGAAATCAAAGATGCATACTATGGATCTGGGTTTTTCCCTCCTCTTAATCTACGACTAACCTGTCTTTCTGTTAATGGCAGAAATGTCCCAAGCAATAAATAGACCCAGGTGGACTTGAAGAACATTAGAGACTCGAACATGGCTGGTACTCTGTCCATTTTTTTTTTTTCCCAACTTGTAACTAGCTTCATTTTTTCTAGCTATGGACCAGCTTTTTCTGCCTAGCAGGAAACATTATTAACAATTTTTATTTTAAGTTGAACCAGATCTGGATTTGATGTTTCGGACAAAAGTCCCAAGAAGACAAGGATTGTCTAGGCCTCAGTGTTGTCTCTTGCGACAGACAACACTGTCTGTCAGATTTGTCAGACAGATCTGTTAGCCAGATTTGTCAAAGGGTAATAAAGTTGTAGGTATAGCCATGTTGAGGTGAGGGGAAACTCAGAGAAAAAGAGGTGTAAGTCAGGCAAACAGTTCCAAAGATATATGCTATACTTCATATAGCAAAATATAAGAAAAATTCAAGGAAACAGAATTAGGAAATATATAATGAAAAATGTGAAATGTTTCAGGTATGACAAATGTGATTATGTCACCTCAAAAGCCCATAAATGCTTTTTAAGTAAAACCTGAAATAAAATGAAACATAAAAAATAGGGCTGGGCGCCGTGGCTCACGCCTGTAATCCCAGCACTTTGGGAGGCCGAGGCAGGTGGATCACGAGGTCAAGAGATTGAGACCATCCTGGTCAACATGGTGAAACCCCGTCTCTACTAAAAATACAGAAAATCAGCTGGGCATGGTGGCGTGTGCCTGTATACCCAGCTACTCAGGAGGCTGAGGCAAGAGAATTGCCTGAACCCAGGAGGCAGAGGTTGCGGAGAGCCGAGATTGCGCCATTGCACTCCAGCCTGGGTAACAAGCACAAAACTCCGTCTCTAAATAAATAAATAAATAAATAGCTATCATACAAATAAAAAGGATGGAAGACAGCACTACTGTCAAACAGAATAGACAAATAGCAGCTTCATGTAATAATAAATAAAAGCAAATAATACCTAGTTTAAAAGCGAGAAGGAAAAATACCTAAGTACAGAAATTAAACAAGTTTCCAGCTAGGACAGGAAGGATGGAACTAAAGGTAAAAACTTTAGGGACAGTATAAGGAGTCTTGGCATTAGGTATAAGCCTTAAGTGTTGGGGTATAGTAGCAGAGATTATGAAATTTTAAATGGGGGTAGGGACTGGAGAACAAAGCTCTAGGCCCTCGTGAGGCAACTTCTGGAACACTTCTTTGAAAAGCTGGGCATGATGAGAGTTTTCAAAGCAGAACTGCAACACTGCAGCCTGTGGTCTTGGGAAGAAACTGGATTAAAAAAAAAAGTCACTTCTGACAAGTCAATCCAACCCAGTTTTATGTGCTGAGTTGCATACGTGAAGACTTGAATATGTAATGAGAGCTATTACAATGTTAGTGAAAACGCTTAGTATTATAAATTGCATTTGAAGTGTGCTCATATGTAAATATATGACAGTGAATAAAGCGAAATCTTACTTATGAAAGCATTTTTAAGATCTAAAGGATTTTAATAAAGTGTTTATAATTACTACACCTAGATGGTAAGATTATGGGTGTAATTTTTTTTTTCCTTTTCAATCGTGTCTTCTAAATTATCCTCTGCACTTATTCAATAATTTTTTGAAAAAGAAAACAATAAAACATTACACATTTAAACAGAGATATATAAGCTATTCAAGAATACATAAGAGGAAAGCACACACCCCACCTTGGGTCTTCACTTATTCAATAATTTTTTGAAAAAGAAAACAATAAAACATTACACATTTAAACAGAGATATATAAGCTATTCAAGAATACATAAGAGGAAAGCACACACCCCACCTTGGGTCTTTTTGTTAACCTAGCATGTACCTGTGATACTACAGTTGCTGACAAAGAACAAAAATGAAATGTTCCAGCCAGTTTCAATAATAAATATAGCTGCAGAAATAAAATATTAGCAAAATTGTGTACTTTTGGGTATAATTTAATAAAGGAATGCAAAAAGTGTTTGATATTACAAAGTGTTTAGTAAATTTGCCTCTGGTTCAGAAGAGGTTAAAAACAATGGACATTAAAGGACATTTAAAATTTTAATTTTCTATTATATTTATCTGATGATTGCAGGTATATAAAAGAATTGTTCCCTTTAGCATTAATCTTATATCTAGACTTCTCTTTTATTTCTCAGTATCTTTTTCAGTTGATTTTTCAGGTTTCTACTTGTTTGTATGTGTGTTTCATGTTTGTGTTTTTCCAGTTAAGATTGTAGTCTCATTGCATACCAGCAAGAATAAGCTGACTACAATAAAATGGTGTCTTATTTGAGGCCTGTCATATCCTAGGCACTAAAAAATTTGGAGAAGGAATGAATTATGTTAATAAATGGACAAGAGTACTTTGTATTGAGTAAGAGGACTCAATTCTTAAAAGACAACAGCTCTCCAGATCTAGTGTATAGTTTAAATTAGTGTTTAGGCAAAATGATTCTGAATAATTAGTTGGCAAGAATAGTTTGGAAACATTTTAAGATTTATATGATATAGGTGACTGACAGAATCAATGTTTATAAAGTTTTAATAATTGAAATACTGGCAGTAATTCCCTAATATTACTAAGGAATCCAGAATAGAAAATCTGAAACTGTCTGAGGGTATGTATGTAACAAAGAATTAATCTAATAATCATGTATGTATCTAATATATACATATGTGATTGTAGAATATGATCAATTTGGCATTTCAAGTTTTTATTTCCTTCAAAAATGCTTTTCCTACGACTTAACGCATTAAATGTAAACATGATAAGTATAATAAAAAATACAATGTTTATCTGATCTTGAGTTTGAGAAGAACTTTCTAAGTATATAAAGAAAGAAAACATGGTGGGAAAGAATGTTAGGTATACTGCTTTAAAAAATCATAACATCTGTACATCAAAACTGGAACTAAAGGCAGATAATAAAATGAAGAAGACTTTTTCCTGTAGAAAAATGGGCAAAGGAAATTCGTGAAAGGGAGAAAATTGGCCAGTAATGTATACGAAAAGATTTCTACTTTAATGGAAATGGAAAGTCACCAGAAGTAGTGTATTTTTCTCATTAGAGTGGCTATGAATGTTCTTTGACCCAGTCACTTGATTTTTTCAGTTTTTAATTATTGATTATTAGAAAATCTTTCAAGACTGATAACATGAGTGAATTCTCACTATATAATAAAGTGAAAAACCTTACATGTATTTTGTCTCAATTTATTTTACACATATAGAAAAAAATTTAAAGAACCAAACGACCAGTCATTACCTCTGGATAATGTGATTATTGGTTATTTTTCAGTGTGTTTTTCTGTGTCTTCTAAAATACAGCAGTTAGCATAATTTTATAATCAAACTTGAAGGGGGGTTTAGAATGTACTTAAAATGCAGATTTTGAAAATAGTATTTTTTTGTGCTTGACTGTTTTTAACAGTTTGATTCTACAGGTGCTCTTATTAATAAAACGAAATGATTAAGATAGTGATGTACTTCAGGACTGTTATGTGAATTTTGTATGATTGGCTAAATTTTTTTGGCACTTTACAAAAGTGTTTGAAATTTTTTTACCATAATAAGGGTTTTTTTACTTGAGTAACTAGAACATTTCAAATACTCAGTGTCTTCAAGTTGATTTTTTAAAGAACAAATATGAGATAATTAACATTTTATTGTTCCCCAAGAGTGATCCTCCACTGGACTCACCCATCAGTTTATTTTTTATTTAGATGAGTTTATTCTTTTTTAATATACTTTGTCCATATATGCTATTGTAGTATTTATGTTTGTGTTTGTACTTGGCAGCCATATTTTCTGCTCTTAAGAATCTTCAAGATAAGATTCGTCGCTTGGAACTTGAGAGGATTCAGGCAGAAGAAAGTGTGAAAACCTTGTCTAGAGAAACAATTGAATACAAGAAAGTACTGGATGAACAGATACAAGAAAGGGAGAATTCAAAGAATGAGGAATCAAAGCACAATCAAGGTTTGTTTAATCATGAAGAAAATTAAATTCTGTCAAAATAAGTGTTGTGAAGTATTAATTATCCTAAAAATACATTAGTGTTTTCTAGTGGTGTCTTCAAGTACTACAAAACTACATTGTGTTTGGGTACATTTTGAGGAACAAGTACTGTTGTCATACATTGTATTTACTTACTGAATGCAAGGCTGATTTGACTAGCATGAAGAAAGAGAATGATTTAGGTAATCTGAAAAGGCTTTTAGGTGTGTGGAAAGTGTTTTTGTGTATACAGTAGATTCAATTCCTGATAACAGCTTGTTAAAACTATTTTATTCGTGAGTTGACGTCTGCTTTTCTTTTGTACTCTCTTTAGAACTGACATCTCAGTTGTTAGCTGCAGAAAATAAATGTAATCTATTAGAAAAACAACTGGAATACATGCGAAATATGATAAAACATGCAGAAATGGAGAGGACATCTGTCTTAGAGAAACAAGTAAGTAAAACACCTCATAGACTGACACTCAAGAACAGTTAGTTATAGGGAAAACTAATTGAATAAAGACTTATTTTTCCTCTCAGTGAGGACTAATGGTGCTGTTACAGCCCAGGACTGAAATTTCTTGGCATCAGTTATGAAATCTAAAGATGTGATTGGCTTTTTTTGTTGTTATTGTTGTGTTTGATAGAGTTTTACTTAAACTGGAAAAATACAGTTAGTTGTGAGGTGTTTTACAGTTATGTCAGCTTCTTTGAGTCTACATTATAAAAAGTGTAAATAACCATATACCTCTGTACCTCTGAAATTTGTTCAATGACTCAAGAGATATAGCAGATTTGAAGGTTCTTTATACTCTTTAGAATTGTTATTTAGCATACCATTTTTGTGCTTTCTTACATCAGAGGTCTTTGTATTTAGGTCACCTGCACATTTGTGAGAAGATATCTGCAACATCAGTCTCAAATTGATTGATTGGCTGATTAGAAATTGTCTCACTCTGTCACCCAGGCTGGAGTGTGTGGCATGATCTCAGTTCACTGCAACCGCCACCTCCTGGGCTCAGGTGATTCTCATGCTTCATCTTCCTTAGTAGCTGGAATTACAGGCGGTTGCCACGATGCCTGGCTATGTATTTAGTATAGATGGGGTTTCACCATGTTGGCCAGGCTGGTCTCAAGCTTCTGGCCTCTAGTGATCAGGCTTCCTCGGCCTCCTGAAGTGCTGGCATTACAGGCATGAGCCACTGTGCCCAGCCTTGCATATATTTTTAAAAACTTACTCCTTTTCCTGTTACAAATCTAGAATTTGAATTCATTATCAGTGCTAGCTTGTGGACATCTTAACTCTATTATGCAAATTTGAATGTTTATAAGCTTAATGTTTATGCTGGATGCTCTGCAGTGTAAAGAAAAAGAAATACCAGGCAGTTGTCCCTCAGTATTCATGAGTGAATTGGTTCTGAGACCTCTGTGGATCTCTGTCTCTACTAAAAAATACAGAAATTAGCTGGGCGTGGTGACGCCCACATGTAGTCCCCGCTACTCGGGAGACTGAGGCAGGAGAATTGCTTGAACCCAAGAGGCAGAGGTTACAGTGAGCCAAGATCACACCACGACACTCCAGCCTGGCAACAGAGCGAGGCTGTATCTCAAAAAAAAAAAATCCAAGGATGCTCAAGTTTCTTATAAAATACTGTGGTATTTGTATATAACCTACACCCAATCTCTCATATACTATAAATTATCTTTAGATTACTTATAATACCTAATACAATATAAATGCTATGTAAATAGTTGCTATACTATATTATTTGGGGAATAATGTTAAGAATAAAAATCTGTGTATGTTTAGTACAGACTCAACCTGCATTTTTGTTTTTTTCTAACATATTTTCAAACCACAGTTGATAGAATCCATGGATGCAAAACACACAGATACAGAGGACTTACCGTATGTGTTTTCTACTCAGCTTTCAGTCCTTGTTGGAGAGAATTAGACTTAAATATTTGAGTAATCATACAATATTTGAGAAAATGCCTCAGTAATTAATTCTCATGTGTGTTATAGGTCTCTTCACTACGTTATTGGGTTTATTTCAATGATTATATTTTTTCATTTTTATTTGGGTCTTTTTCCATCCACTTAGTTTTGTTCTTAGATTTTACTGTTACTCTTTGCTTTTTATTCCTTCCCTTTATCTCTGAACACTATAAACAATTCTCAATATTTTTAAATTATTTGGTATTTTCATATTGTTAATCCTCATTTGTTTGTCTTTATTGATTCTCCCTTATGATATCTTGTTTTTTTTATGGGAACTGTTTTTTTTTCCTTTTTTTTTTTAAATTATTATACTTTAAGTTCTGTCATATGTGAGCAGAACATGCAGGTTTGTTGATAGGTATACATGTGCTATGGTGGTCTGCTGATCAACCCATCATCTAAATTAGGTATTTCTCCTATAGCTATCCCTCCCCTAGCCCCTGACAGGCCCTGATATGTGATGTTTCCCTCCATGTGTTCATGTGTTCTCATTGTTCAACTTCCACTTCTGAGTGACAATATGTGGTGTTTGGTTTTCTGTTCTTGTGTTAGTTTGCTGAGAATGATGGTTTCCGGCTTCATCCATGTCCCTTCAAAGGACAAGAACTTATCCTTTTTTATGGCTGCATAGAATTCCATGGTGTATATGTGCCACATTTTGTTTATCCAGTCTATCATTGATGGGCACTTGGGTTGGTTCCAGTAAACATACATGTGCATGTGTCTTTATGATAGAATGATTTATAATTCTTTGGGTATATACCCATTAATGGGATTTCTGGGTCAAACAGTATTTCTGGTTCTAGATCCTTGAGGAATCGCCACACTCTCTTCCACAGTGGTTGAACTGATTTACACTCCCACCAACAGTGTAAAGGCATTCCTATTTCTCCATGTCCTCTCCAGCGTCTGTTTCCTGACTTTTTAATGATGGCTATTCTAACTGGCATGAGATGGTGTCTCATTGTGGTTTTACTTTTCATTTCTCTAATGACCAGTGATGATGAGTTTTTTTATGTTTGTTGACCACATAAATGTCTTCTTTTGAAAAGTGTCTGTTCATATACTTTGCCCACTTTTTGATGAGGTTGGTTGTTTTCCTGTGAATGTGTTTACTTTCCTTGTAAATTCTGGATATCAGCCCTTTGTCAGATGGATAAAGTGCGAGGATATTCTCCCATTCTGTAGGTTGTCTGTTCACTGTGATGATAGTTTCTTTTGCTGTGCAGAAGCTCTTTAGTTATATCCTATTTGTCAATTTTGGGTTTTGCTGCCATTTCTTTTGGTGTTATAGTCATGAAGTGTTTGCCCATGCCTATGTCCTGAATGGTATTGCCTAGGTTTTCTTCTGGGGTTTTTATGGTTTTAAAGCTTATATTTAAGTCTTTAATCCATCTTCAGTTAGTTTGTGTATAAGGTGTAAGGAAGGGGTCCAGTTTCAGTTTTCTGCATATGGCTAGCTAGTTTTCCCAACATCATTTATTAAATAGGGAATCCTTTCCCCATTACTTGTTTGTCAGATTCATCAAAGATCGGATGGTTATAGATGTGTGGTGTTATTTCTATTTTGTTTCATTGGACTATGTATCTGTTTTGGTGCCAGTATCATGCTGTTTTGGTTACTGTAGCTTCGTAGTATAGTTTGAAGTCAGATGGCATGATGCCTCCAACTTTGTTCTTTTTGCTTAGGATTGTGATGGCTGCATGGGCTCTTTTTTGGTTCTATTTGAAATTTAAAGTAGTTTTTTCTAATTCTGTGAAGACAGTCAATTGTAGCTTGCTGGGGATAGCATTTAATCTATAAATTACTTTGGGCAGTATGACCATTTTCACAACATTTATTCTTCCTGTCCATGAGCATGGAATGTTGTTTCATTTGTTTGATCCTCTCTTATTTCTTTGAGCAGTGGTTTGTAGTTCTCCTTGAAGAGGTTCTTTATCACTTGTAAGTTGTATTCCTAGGTATTTTATTCTTTTTGTAGCAGTTGTGAATGGGAGTTCACTCATGATTTGGCTCTCTGTTTGTCTATTATTGGTTTATTGGAATGCTTGTAATTTTTGCGCATTGATTTTGTGTCCTGAGACTGCTAACGTTGCTTATCAGCTTAAGGAGATTTTGAGCTGAGATAGTGGGGTTTTCTAAATATACATTCGTGTCATCTGCAGACAGAAACAATTTGACTTCCTTTCTTCCCATCTGAATACCCTTTATTTCTTTCTCTTGCCTAATTGCCCTGGCCAGAACTTCCAGTACTATGTTGAATAAGATTAGTGAGAGAGGGCATCCTTGTCTTGTGCTGGTTTTCAAAGGAAATGCTTCCAATATTTGCCCATTAAGTATGATGTTGGCTGTTTGTCAAAAATAGCGCGTATTATTTTGACATACATTCCATCAATATCTAGTTTATTGAGAGTTTTTAGCATGAAGGGGTGTTGAATTTTGTCAGAGGCCTTTTCTGCATCTGCTGAGATACTCATATGGTTTTTGTCATTGGTTCTGTTTATGTCATGGTTTACATGGACTGATTTGCGTATGTTGAACCAGCCTTGCATTGCAGGGATGAAGCTGACTTGATGGTGGTGGATAAGCTTTTTGATGTGCTGCTGCATTCAGTTTGCCTGTATTATATTGAGGATTTTCTCATCGGTGTTCATCAGGGATATTGGCCTGAAATTTTCTTTTTTTGTTGTGTCTCGGCAAGGTTTTGGTATCAGGATAATGCTGACCTCATAAAATGAGTTAGGGAGGAGTACTCCTTTTTCTTTTGTGTGGAATAGTTTCAGTAGAAATGGTACCAGCTCGTTTTTATACCTCTGGTAGAATTCGGCTGTGAATCCGTCTGGTCCTGGACATTTTTTGGTTGGTAGGCTCCTGATTACTGCCTCAATTTCAGAACTTGTTACTGGTCTATTCAGGGTTTTGGTTTCAAACTGGTTTAGTCTTGGGCAGGTGTACGTGTCTAGGAATTTATCCATATCTTATAGATTTTCTAGTTTATTTGCATAAACATGTTTTTAGTATTCTCTGATAGTAGTTTGCATTTCCATGGGATCAGTGGTGATATTGCCTTTATCTTTTTATCCATATCTTCTAGATTTTCTAGTTTATTTGCATAGATGTGTTTTTAGTATTCTCTGATGGTAGTTTGCATTTCCGTGGGAATCAGTGGTGATATTGCCTTTATCTTTTTTATTGTGTCTATTTGATTATTTTTTCTTCGTTATTACTCTAGCTAGCAGTTGATCAATTTTGTTGATCTTTTCAAAAAACCAGCACCTGGATTCTTTGCTTTTTTGAGTGATTTTTTTCATGTCTCTGTCTCCTTCAGTTCTGCTCTGATCTTAGTTATTTCTTGTCTTCTGCTAGCTTTTGAATGTATTTGATCTTGCTTCTCTAGTTCTTTTAATTGTGATGTTAGGGTGTCAATTTTAGATTTTTCCCGCTTTATCCT